TCCGACAGTGCGGCGCTCCCTCAGCACTGACCCTCCGACAGTGCGGCGCTCCCTCAGCACTGACCCTCCGACAGTGCGGCGCTCCCTCAGCACTGACCCTCCGACAGTGCCAACTCCCTCAGCACTGACCCTCCGACAGTGCCAACTCCCTCAGCACTGACCCTCCGACAGTGCCAACTCCCTCAGCACTGACCCTCCGACAGTGCCAACTCCCTCAGCACTGACTCTGACAGTGCGGGATGGGTGTAATACCTTCCACTGTGCCAGTGTCATACTGCAGAGTGCCAAACGGGAAAGTACAGGTACTAACCTTCACCGTCTCATACCAGAATGGTTGCTTCACCTGGTAGTAGACCACAGACTTGTATTCCGAGATCCCCTGATCTCCGCATCCCGGGAAGATGGCTCTCTGAGGGCGGTCAGGGGAGGGGGAGAAATAATGATTACTTTGCGAACGATGGAGGAGAGATCGCGCTCGAGTGTTCGAGTCCGAAACATATTGAGTCTGGGCGGGTGGATTGCCCGGAGCCATCGCGTTGCCAGCTGGGGATGTGCAGGCCAGTGCCAACCGCGTAGCCAGAGGTGCGAGAGCGCGCAGGGTTGTGGGCGAAACGCAGAGCCCTGGTCCTAAAGGGTCTACGTTGGCCGTCGGAGAGAGAGAGAGAGAGACAGAGAGAGGATGGGTGGTCACCAACGTGGCGTGTTTGCCGGAGACAGGGGAAGGCGCCCAGGAGGAAGAGGGGCACAGACCAGCCACCTACCTCCATCAGATGCCCCTCCTCGCTGTAGACCCCCATCGTCACCTCCACATTCTTTGGCGTCTTCTTCTTGCCCTTGTCGAACTCCCCCTGGACCAGGGTGACGTAGATGTCGTTCCTGACGTCCCCTGCGAACAGCAGAGGTCATTATTGGCAACGGTGCCCACCCCTGGGCTCTGGGTGGCACTAAATCGGGATTCATGCAGAAATATGCCCCCCCCCCAGAAGTCCCAAACACACCCTCCCCTACCCCAGTGCGCTCCTTGCCTCTTTCCCCTGGCAAGACGGGCACCCCCACCCTTACCAGGCAGGATGATCTCTGGGAACCCCATCTTCCGAGCGACCGCGATGGATCTGTCCACCAGGTGTGGAAAGTTCTTCTGGACTTGCTGGATGTCCCCTGGGAGCAGCTTCATCGAGACCCACAGTCCTGGTGAGAGGGCACAGGCGCACATCAACTCCAGGCCTGGCATGGTGGGCGCCTTCCCGTGCCAACGCCCTGACCCACAGCCACCCCCTCACTGCCCGCTCCCCCGACAATCCGTCACCAACGGCTTTCTCCGTCGCTCTTCCGCTCCACCACCGACCCTTCCCGCTCCCCCCTCCCCCTGCCGGCCGTGACCCATGCCACACCCGAATAGCGCCCCTCTCCCACCCCCTCCCCCCACCCCCGCCGGCTCCAGAACACTCACCCACCCAACCCCCCAACTCACGGCTCACTCCAGCCCATCTCGCCAGCTGCCCACAAGGGGGCTCCGCTCCATCCGCTGCGGGCCAAGGGGGCTCCCAGCCCAAGGGTGAAGCACACTGAAGGCGAATAGCTCGCCTCTCTGCCAACTCAGCTGCGGGGGGGGTGGCGCCAGCCAGGCAAGGTGCCGCGGGGGTTGGGGATGGAACCTGGGCTGGCAGAGGTTTGGTTGGGGGGTGGGGGGGCAGGGGGTAAAACCGGTGGGCGCCCAAGGTGGGCGTCAAGGCTTTCGAGACATGAGGGCTCATTGGAGGAGGGGTGGAGAATTGAGAGAAGGCCGTTCGGTCCATCCAGCCCATGCCATGCTGGGCCAACCCTCCCCTGCCCGCATTGGTGCAGCAGGTTGGCGTGCTCTGCCCACCTTGGCCTTTGTGGTTGACCTCCTTGGCAGCGATGACCTTGTTGAAGACGGAGGGGAGGGCCTCGTTCTCGCCAATGACACGGGACGTCAGGAGGGGCGACATGATGAGCTGGCGTTGCCGGATGTACGTCTCCATGGCGATCCTGCGCGAGAGGACAGTCACCAGCGGGTGGTTCGGTGCCTCCCCCCCCCACCCTCCTTCCCCAGTGCCAACCAGCCACCGCGTCTCTACGCCACTCGGCAGTCACAGGGATGGGGAGCTGGAGGCCGTTCGGCCTCTAATCAATGTGCTAGCCCCTCCCCACCCCACCACCGGCGGCAGCGACCCACTGTCATTCCAATCCCTGTACAGAGAATGATCCCATTCCCTTCCAAAAGCATCCGCATCAAGATTGCTTTCTACTATCAGCCGTTTTTAATGTGTCTCTCTGCTTCTCAATCCTTCTCTCCCCATGGGATCAGTCTTTTGTCTCCCCATGACTTTTCAACCTCTCAACGCTCTCGTCTCTGAGAAGAGCAGTGCCCACAGGGAGGGAGTTCCAGGATCCTGACCCAGCGACACTGAAGGAACGGCCGATTTATTTCCCAAGTCGGGGACGGTGAGGGGCTCGGAGGGTGAACTTGCAGGGGGTGGTGTTCCCATGTACCTGCTGCCCCTTGTCCTTCTGGATGGAAGTGGGTCGTGGGTTTGGAAGGTGCTGTCTGAGGGGCCTCGGTGAGTTGCTGCAGTGCATCTTGTAGATGGTACACGCTGCTGTGACTGAGCGTTGGTGGTGGGGGGAGTGGGATGTTT